CGGGCCGGGCCAGGCCGCGCACCGGGAGATTGTTCTCCGGGCGAGGAAGGCGGCGGGGCCCGGGCACCGGGAGATTCCTCGGGCTTGGAGGCGGCGGGGGTCGGGCCCCGGGCGGTTCCCCGCCGGGCTGAGGGCCCCCAGCCTCCCCAGAGCCCGCGGCCAGGAGGAAACGCTCCCCCTCGCCTTGCGGCGTCGGAGTGAAAACGGGCCTTTTCCTCCCGCCCCTTCTCACCCCTCCGTTGCACCGGAGGCGCGCTTGGATTGTCTGTTATTATTTACAGTGAGCAAAATCGGCCGCGTGCTAGGAGATGGACAAAGAGCCCGTTTGCGTAAATCTGGTGTGTTGGCTGAATTAAAATACCGGTCAATCTACATGATGGTAAATCACTGTTCAGTCATTCTCAAACACATTAAAAACAAATTGATACGGTCTCCGAAGACCTTAATGTGGGCAAGGAAATAGAATACTTCTCTGAAAGACCCAAGTAAAATGACCCATTGTGAATAATCCAGAGTTTATAGAGCAATAAAATAAGCAAATCTCATCCTTTGCTAAATTTAGGATTTACAGGACAATCCAGGAAAGTAGCCTTTGGCAGTAGTTTATACTCAGGGCAAGAAGTTAACTGTCAGGTACTGGGATCAAGCCTCTGGCATCTGAATTAACTGTGAAAGTCTTTAGACCAAACTAAAAAAAATACCTCCAAGAGAAGTATAAAGGTTAAATGGACAATAATGTCAAAAAGACCTTAAACTTTTTACAGTACAAAACTGGCAGAATTTGTATCTGCAAATGTGCCTATGCCGTACTTAGAATCGAGGTTTTATAGGTTTGGGGAAGTGAGTCAATACCCTTCAAAAGTGTGTTTTAAAGGGAAATATATGGAGGAGGAATCAATTTAAATATGATAATTGTATAGCTTGGAGCACTGACAGCATTGAAGCTACTGGAGAATAGTGCCCTGTAATCTCTCAAGTGGTGTTTTTGCATTTCTGGCTGTGCCTTTAATGTTCTGTTACTTTTGTCTTGAGCAGACTATATGATTTTGTCAACTGATTGCCTGATACAGTTTTCTATTAGTCCTGTAGATCTGTGGGCTGGCTAAGAGCTAATAGGCCACATTCCTATGAGTTTCATGAGAAAGTACTTTTCATGAGAAGTACCTTATACTTGTGAAAACCTTTGAAGCTCTGGGAAGTAAATTTATTTTTTAAATGGTCTGCTGGAAGGTGCTGATTGACAGCCCTGGTCATAGAAAATCTCTGGGTGTCCATGCAGCAGTTCCAGCATGAACAGCAGCACTTTAAGCCTCTGTTCCCTGTACCCTGCCTGATCATACCCTTGAATTGATTAGATCACTTCTTAGGTCCACAGCTGCTAATTCAGCTGTGTAGCCTAGACCATTAATGTGATCGAGACAGGCTGAGAGATAAAGAAGTATATGGTGTGTAGTACTGATGTTAGGCAAGAATGTATGCATGAATGAATTCAATTTCTGTGTGGAGCTTGTGGCCTCATCCTGACATGCACACCATTTCTTTCTGAGGTTCCCTGCGACCTCGGTCCACAGCTGTGTGCGGTGCTCTCAGCACAGGGTATCACTGTAGCTCAGCGGCTCTGCAGCATTACTTCTGAGAGGTGAATTTTACTCCTGTACCTTGATTTCTCACCTAAATAGAGATGTGCTTCCACATTACCTAATCTGGATATCTCTTTGTAGCACATTGTAATTTTTACAAGAAACTTATCTTTGGACTTCTCTAATGATAAAGTAAAATCTCTCTAGAGTCTCATTCCCCCAACTTTCAGAGTTGGAAACTCACACAAGCTTATGTTGAAAAGGAATTGATTATTCAAAGCTCTTGTGCTTCATAATCTACTTAAAACATGTAGATTGACTGTCTCATCAGAAAAGCTCTAAATTCTACTTTGCTATATAGCCCGTTGGGTCATGTGCTTAAGGCCAGGAGACCTCTGGCTGGCTACTTACAGACTGTGTGCCCCTCTAATTACAGGTTATTAATTTGCCTTACATTCAAGAGACAGTTCCACATGAGTGAAAAGGAATACCATACTGCCGAGTTCTTCATTACCTACTCTGTCTGTACCACAGCAAAATAAGAATAATACTGATTTCTTTATTCCTTTTTTGTCACTTCTTTTTTTTTTTTCCCCCTCTGGTCTGTGGAAGATGTTTTACAGTTTTAATGCAGCTGTTTTAAGTGTGACTGTTCCTGTTCAAGGGCAGCTGATGTACTTTGTAATGCCATTGAACAGCCAACAAGCTATGTTCCCCTATTGTGTTGAAGTGATAGGTATGTTTGCTAATCAAGAGGAGAGCAGAGCTTGCTGTCTGACTTGTTTATGTTTTATTTCTCACCATCAAGCTTTAGAGGGAGGCACAGAAAATATGTAAGCATCTATATTATTCAGTGATGTATATATGTACATGAGTGTACAAACAGTCTAAAGTGCATTGCTGATACCTTCTAGTCAGTCATTACTGAAATTAGGAAGCTGTCAGGATTACCACATATCCTCAATATTACTCAAAATACCCCAAACCTGGCATGCCATTAGATAAATTAATTGTCACTGCCTCTTCATTTTTTCTCCTCTTGTGATTGCTTCAGTTTTGTTCAGTGTGGAGGGTGTCGATCATCAGGATTCACAGAAGGGCTATAGAAAGTGATCAGATAGAGGAGATGCTGCTTGGTTCCCATCACAGCTGCTTTTTAATTTTCTTGTAGGCTGTAGTGTTTCTCCTTCCCATATGCAAGATGGCAGAAATTCGGCCCCTGGAACTGGAGAATGTTCTATAATCTGCTGGAAGCTCAACAGCATAGCATAACCTCTTATTTCTCTGTGCCATTCCTGGGGCTTTCGGCCTCTGCCCTGATTCCCTGTTCAAGTTACAAGGGTGTCAGCTCCAGCAGAATCTTACCTTGGTGCAGTCTTACTCTTGGGTTTGTAGGTTTCATTCAAATCCCTTGAAAAACTATCTTAAGCATTTTGAAAATGTTTCAGAAAACTCATGTAATTTGTCATCTTTATAAATCCATGTTAATGATTCCAGTAGGTATCGTGATAAAATAACATGCATCAAGACAGAAAGTTTAGTGCTGCAGCCTGAAATTCAAGACTACCAGGAAAATTCCACTGGTGTTTGTATGGAATATGTTTTGGGGAAAGGGAAGGTGGAATGTGTTTCTTTCTTTCTTCCTACCAGGATGTCTTGGTTTTGTATTAGTTCTTGTAACCTGGAGGGTAGGGAGAACTGCCCTGCAAAGAGCACTGAAATTCTCCTGTTATCCCCTCTATGCCTGCCTGCAGCTCAGGTCTTACATAAGTATCGTGTCTAATAACATTACTGCCTGCTGCTGCATTATTATATAGTTAATTTTATGAGTCCCATTTTTAACCGGATGCCTAGTTTTGCTTTGTCATCTTGCTCTCTGTCAAGTGTCTGGTTTTATTCAATTCCTTTTTTCTTTTAGCAGATGGAGAATATAAAAAAAAAAAAAAAAAAACAAGTTAAGGAGGGTAATAATGTAAAGTGGGTATCCTCAATTAATACAGTAATCTGTTTTCTAATTAATTCCCTGCGGTTTTCCTCCCTTTTTGCTGGTATTGAATCCTGACTACAATTCTATAAACTCAGTAATTTGATTATTTAAAGGAAAAGCAATGCATTTCACGATAGAGGTGTAAGTCTTTAGGAAATGTTAAATTTCAGGAAGCAAATGGATTCTATTACTGTGGTTTAAAACTTGCTTGTACCCAGGGTATAAACGTGCACTGCTAATAACATACGGTTCTAAAATACAGGTGCATTCCTGTCAGCTAGTCCTAAAGCAAATTGCATTGTTAAAAATCTGATGCTACGCTCTCCTACAAGCACTTGTTGTTGTATTTTTGTATGCAGATGTGATGGCAGGGTGAGTATCAAAACATCAACATTCCATGATGTGGATTTATGTAGCATTTTTTATCACTTGTTTCCAGTAGAGGCAACAGTGTATTAGATATACTGTACAAATAAAGAGAAGGGACTCTCATTGCTTTTTGAAAATTGTTTTGGCTGCTTCTTTGGGAAGTAGCTTGAGGTGATTTTGATGACCTTTTTTTTGTGGTTATTTGACACTAAGCCCAACACATTGCAAGAGTCCTTGGCAAATTTATAGTCACTCTTGTTGAACCTAATCATTTAATTCTTCTGTAAAAAAAAAAAATGTAGAAATTGCAAGATACGTGTTTAAGTATCTTAACTGAAATATTTTACTTGATGAAGGCTATAGTGAAAATATGCAGGATACCTCCTCACCACTGTGTCCCATTAAATAGAATTTTAAAAGCTGCATAGTAATTGTAGTCACAGTCAGCATCTTGCTGATGTTTTCTCTTGTCCTAAAGAAAAATAATAATAGAGGAAAGAGAACTTTTATCTCTAAAATTAGGGAGTCATCAATGCAGTAATTACAGTAGTTGAAATACATTTTGCAAATTTATTTTCAGTTATAAAAGCTTCAAGCCTTTCGGCAAATTGGAGAAATACTGCATCTAGCCTGCTGTGGCAGAACCATTATCATCTGCTAAGTTAAATACAGAGTACTAAAGAAATGTCTTTCCTGTTTTAGGATTTCTTTTACACAACTCGGGTCATTATTTTTGCATTTTGATAAGATTGTGTCACACACTTCATTGTGACATCAGCCCAGTATGGCTGAGAGAAAAAGTACACTGCAAAATTAGGTAGGTATCCATTTTTAACAAATACTTTGCTTTAGTTCTGCAGTTCCTTATGAGTTTGGGGGTGCCATGATAGCGCAGTAAATATGCAAAAGTCAACAATAACTCCTCTCTCCAAAATCTATCAATCATAAATGGGAATAACTGTGTTTTAGTTCATGTAGCAGTCAAACCAGAAAACGTAGTGGGTATTCTCCTTAATTGCAGACTCAGCATACAAAATAAATGTCATCTTTTTAATCTTTTGCAGTCCCAGACAGCCTTGTTATGAAGATCCTGACATCACGCCTAAACGCACTAGACTGCATGACCAGTGGTTGGGTGCTTTGTGGCTTCCCAAGAGACATAGAGCAAGGAGAAGAGCTGCAAAAATCACATATTATTCCAAACAGGTAGGATACAAATTTAGCAATCACAACATTACATGTATTGTTTGTGGAAAGATGCAGGTCTTTACTGACATTATATAGGCTATTGCATCTTATTTATTTATTCTTTCCTTAGCTAGAAAAGGGGTCTTTCTCCTGGAGAGTAGGAAATAGAGCATTGGCCTTACAAATCCTCCAGATGGCCAAACTGTGGGAGAGAGAACAGGTTTGTTCTTCTGATTATTTGTTTGAGTTGCCTCTAAAGGCAAACCATAAGAAATGGATTAAAGTTTGGATTATATCAGAAGGTGTATTTTATTTGCAGCAGGAGGGGGGATCTACATCTTCTTTCTTTAGCATTGGCATAATATCATGGAAAGATATTAGTATTGCAAGGAGCTCATTATAAGACTTTCGGGTTTTGTGAAATAATTAAAAACAACATGAGAATTATATTTTATTTGAGCTATAATGAAGTGTTCAGAAATGTAATATAAGAAATGAGCATCAAAAGTGAACTGTTATGACTACCAGGCAAATAAAATGGAGTTACTCTTTACAGCTGGTCCAAAGGTGGTAAGGATTTGAAATGCTGATGTAATCATCAAAGCTGAGAAGCTTCTCCATTCCCCTCTAGGGATTCCTGGGCCAGTCCATACCACTGGCTGACACCGCAGCTGTTCCAAAAGGCATATGTTGGAAATTTGTAGTCTTTATGCTTCCCAGAAACTTATCTAAAAACTAGTAGTTGGAAAGATACATTACCCACATAAGTGTTTTAAGTTGGCTAAGTTACTCTTCCTGTGTCTTTTGTGTGGCTGCCCTCAATCCCACCCATGCTCCCCATACAGAGAGTAGTGGAAAGATGTAAAGGGGTAAGATTAAGAAGGAGGGGAAAAAAGAGGAGAGTGAAAAGGGAGGGAGCTAGCAGTCATGCCATCAAGGTTTAAAAATGGAAGTATGTGAAAATAGCAGTAGCTTTATTAATAGTAAGCCAAAATACATCCTAAACAGGAATCCAATTAATGAAAAAAGGGAGAAAAAAATCTTGAAACTTATGCTAGACTCAGCTAAGTAACATTCCCCATGGATCGTTCTTCATGTACATTTAGAAGGTAGGTCCCGAGTCCCTAAACACGTACCTGAGTACCTGAGATCAGTGTGAATGCTCAAGTGTGTGCCATATGCTCCTTTACAGGATTGAGACCTCATCAAATGAGAAAGAACAACTCATTCTAAAATTGTATGTGTGGAAATTTAGTGCTGATCCGCTTGCTCAGCTTCCATTTTCTTTGAAGACCTCTGCACGTTCATATCTGAGTTAAGAATTTGGCCCCTACTGTTTTATACAGGGGTTGAAGTAAGGGACAAAAATAGACATGTTACCTGATTGATTTTGGAGCTGATATTTTCCATGAAACTGAAGTAGTAGGTATATAAGGGAGAGAGGGTGATTATAAACAACAGGACATATTGCAGCATAGGATAGCAGGGCAGTAATTCAGTTTCAGTTGTGATGCTAGTTATAAAACACTATCTGCAGAGGTGGTGTTTCTGACATCAGGAGAAAAACCTGATAGAATTATAGCCTTGAAATCAATCTGGGAATAGGATGCAGAAATCTATAAATCAGACACAGAACAATCTGCAAAGTCTCATTTTTAGGAGGGCTCTGTTGATGAAATTAGATTAAAATAAATTTACATATATATCAAGTTTATTATTAAAATCTAGTCACATCAGTAAACAAAATTATTTGCAAAGGAGTATGTTACTCTGTGTTTTGAACTCAAAGTAGACCTCTTTGGCTGATCAGAACACAGAGTTATTGTCTGCTTGTCAAGTCACAAATCTATTCCTTAGAGCTAATAAATGGTTAGTGTTCAAATACTATGTTTTATCTGACTCCCACCTCATAAAGCTAGTACACATAATACTAAATTATACAGCATTGAGCAGGATCAGTCTCCTGACTCCTCCATCTTATGGAAAGAAAAACAAACCTAGTAATTGATGGTAGAAAAGAAGGAAAATAAAGTTATTTGAAAACAAACAAAATGGGCTATAAAGTTTGTTAAAATGTAATAATAAAAAAACTCCTACAGCATCAGCCACTGCATCCAAAGAACTGCCCTAGAACAAAAAAAGAAAATCATTCATTTTCCACCGAAAAAGTAAAGTGCAGGGTTTTCTTAAAATTAGAATTCGCAGTAGAGCGAAGGCTTGCTTACAGACCGGTACAGAGAAACCTGCCTGTATCAGACAAGACCTGTCTACCAAAGAACTGCTCTTTCTGTACTCAGAGAAGACATGTATTGCTTTCTGTGTTCCTGCCTATGAAGCAGTTGCTGCTTAAGTGGACAGGATCCTAATCGTATTGAACTGTGGCAGCCTTTAGGGCAAATAAGAAGCTGAATCTATTAGTGGTCTCTCAGCTATCTAGTAAAAGAACACCATTAACCACTTAGTGCCTACGGTAAGTGGGAATCCAAATACAATTACAGGTTGGCATCTGAAACTCAGAACTACTAATGCAAAGGACTGAATTCAGTTCCTCATCCAAATGAGTGTAAATAGGTATTTTAGCTTTTTTTGATTGTTAATGCTTGAGCAACAATAAGAAATACATAGTAAAGCCATGGATGGCTCTAATACACCGAAAACTCTAATATCTACCAAAATATTTCTTAGCCTCTTCTGCCCTAATTCAAACCTACAGTTAAAATAAAATCCAGCAGCACCAGTGTCATCTGTTACATATCTCTTGTCATTAACTTCAGCTGGTTCATGACCAGCTGTCTGCTGGTTCCAGGCCAGCTTACGGCAATCAGCAGTTTAAGGATTCCCTGAGCCAGAGGGTCATCTGGACAACTGTCTAATATCCCATTTTCCTTGACTTTATAGTCTCTTTTTCAACACTGTACTTTTCAACTCCACCAAGTCATATGGAACGGAGTTTCACTTTTTCACTGGGTGTCATATGAAAATATTTCACAGTGTTTTTTCCATGTTCCTTTCTTCTGTTGAGAAACAGTTATAAGTGTTCCCTGTTCACGTCTCCTAACACTCCTGATTTTATAAGGCTCTTGCATATGACTGTTCAGCCATCTCTTTCCCAGGCAGAGAACCTTGGTCTGTTTATCCTTTCCTTTCCTAGAAGTCCTTTCACTCTTCTGATCATCCTGTCTCCCTGTTCATTACCTTCTCTAGTTACTCTTTCTTTCTGAGCTTTGCACTGTGTATTGGATGTATATATATTGCCATAATCATTTTTTTGTTTTGATCTTTCCTCCATTGCCAATACTCTATTAGATGTTATTGGGATAGATTTTGGAAGGATGTCTTGTGTATGTAGACTATGGTAACTATACAGTAACTCTTTCATTAAAAATATACTGAAAAATCACAAAGTGTCTCAAACTTCAATTGAGTGTGTACAAACACAGCAAGCAGCCAAAAGACCCTTTAACTCAAGATCTCGTGGTTAAAATTGCAGCCAGGTTTGTGTTAGAGTTCTCCTCAAGCCAATAAAGCAAGCCCTTCCATCTGTGCCAATGGGCTCTGCTGCTAAGTGCATCCTGTGTTTCCCAGTTCCTCTGTTCCATCGTTTCCTTTGGTTTTGTTCCATCTGATGTGAATCCAGGGTCAGTCGTTATGCATTTCAGTATTGATTAATTATATTACAGTAGTATGTATAAATGATACAAGTGGACAGACAAAGCTGGGCAGAGGAGGGATGAACTCAAGGATTGACCTAATAATACATAAATATTATGTTTCAAATATCAATTTTTCCAATATTAAAGTTTTTTCTTTCCCAGTAAAGAAAATAAACAGCACAAGCTTCTCCAGTGCAAGTTTTCCAGCAGTGTTTTACTTGGTCTTCAAGATGATGTGGCTGTATCCCTGATTATGTCATCTTTTTACATGATAGATTTAAAGCTTCTTTTTCATCACACTGCTGAGAACCTGTATTCAAACAGTTTAGGATAATGAAGTTCCTAATTTCTACGGTAGAATCTGTGAATATGTTGAAAAGGGAAAAATCAGAATGGGAAAAAAAAGACTTTTTTTTTTTTATTTTTTTTTAACTATTTGGTCTTTACATGGGGCTTTCATATTTCTGCAGCTGATCCCAATGTGGATTAGGGACAATAAACAGCCTGTTAATGGAGGCCTGAACTAGGAAATGGAGTTTGAATCAGCAGCAAAATTCAATGGCTGGCGAAGGTTAATAACTCCATTACTATCAGCTCTATTTTTTAGCCGTCTGAAGAGCTAGGTGTTAGCCTTATCTTACTCCTCATTAATTGAGCTAATAGAACCCCAGTGACCCTACCATGCTGCCATTATCTGAGAGTTTACCAGACATGGACTAGAATACTTATCACTGAATATGTATTCCTCGGATTCATTTTTATATCAGAAATATTTTTGTTAAAGGTTGGCTGTCTTCAGGTTTCTTTTTGCCTTTTCATTTCCTTACTGCCTTCTGTAACAGCTACATATCTGGAAATTAAATGTAAATGACTTAATTAAAATCCTATCAAGGAACAAGCTAAGTCCCAAAATAGTTGCATCAAGGAAACACAATAGAGATTGAATTATTCTGACATGGAAAAAAATCTTACAGGGCATTTTTAAAACTTTGGCCTAATTTAAATGATGGATATTGTATATTTATAAAAGATGTGGTTTTAATTGCTGGCATATAAAAATCTGATGAGTAACAAAGAAGAAATGTTATAATTATATCTTCTTATTTTCTCCTCATTTTCATGGGAGAAAGAAAACAGAAAAATGATGTGGCAATCAAGGTACTAAATCAGTACAGTAAAATTTGTCTGCACCAGGGAGAGAGAGAAACAGTAGGAAAAGTCCAAGTGACCTATGTAGGATTTAGCTTAATTTATAATAAAGTAGTAAAAATAATAGGCAGACCAGTTCTCTGTTCCAGTCATTCTAATTTTTTGTCTCTTCTGATTAGAAGGCAGCTTGCTTTTACTGGAACCATTATATGGTTG